TGTCAGCATAGGTAATCCACCTTCCCAAGAAGCAGTAGTTATGTCAACGGGAGAAGCCCTCCCATCGACACAGTGCTGTTTACACCAGGAGTAAGGTCAGTATAACTGTGTCACTCAGGGATGTGGATTTTACTGGCCAGAAAAAATTCACTAGGAAATTGTTCAAAATACTGAAACCAGTAGTAATGGCATATGAATTTGTATAGAGAAGTTCGTGTTCCTTGGCTGAAGCTGTTGAAGTGTGGAGGAAGACAAACATTTTTTTATTGAAATGCAATTAATGATAAAATGCATGTTCAGCAAGTATTATGTGGTAGTCCTCATTATTTTCTAAAATATATGACCAGTTTCTGCATGTGCTGGTTCCACCCACAGCAGCAGAATCAACACCTGCACTTGACTATTTAGATTAATATGTTTATGATGGAAGTAGGTTTTCTGCCAACAATAGTTGAACTGCAAGCCAGCTGCCTCAATTTAAAAAAAAAAAGTCATGTTCGCCAATTGAGTATTGTAACAGCTATTCAGTAGTGATAATCTCCAGTATATACTCTGAGAAAAAGATATGATCATGAAAGTAGTGTCAATTAACTGCTAAGGGTTCTGCTGGCTTTGAATTAGTATTTTCATCATTTCACCAGGTGCACTTAAAGACTAGAAACTGCATTAGGACAACTTCAAAGTTGATTTTTGTTTTCAGCATTTTATTTCTGAATGACTTCAAGACCCCTCTGTGAATTTCAATAACTGGCCACAATAGCAACAATTCTGATTTTTGCTCATGAACTATAATTGTAAAATATTACATTACTGATGTTAACATATTTGCAAGCTTGTACATATAAAAAACCCACAATTTTGAAGTTTGTTAATATCTTGAAATACTAAGCTTTTCAATGTTAACAATGACAACTTTCATAGTGATGAAGATTTTATTCCACTTTGTATGAATATAAATTCTGAATAAAAACAGTATTAAGGCTCCGTTCTGAAAGCACTTATGCTACTGAAATCAAACTAGTCATGCAGTGAAGTGCTTAAGTGTTTTATGATGGAATTTTCTTTTTTTGTTGTTTGCCTGAAGCAGTTGCATAAAATTCAAAGATATCCTATCGTAGTGACGCTGAACAGTTTAAAACCAGAATTTATAAAACTTAATTCATAATCAATTTAACCTAAAATTGCAAGCCATACCATAAATTTTCAAATTAAGTTGGGGCTTTACAAAGCTAATGTAAATCAATGATTTTTAAAGTCCCTCCACCATTTCATTCTATTTTTATGAAAAATGTTCTGTAAATACAAAAGAGAACCCAACATCCTAAGTAGCCTGCAGAATTAAGTTTACATACATGTATCTCATAGAACACTAACCATCTAGCCATACTGTAACAGTATCATACACAACCACTGGTGATCATTCATGATCTTGACTGTCTGGTAAATATTTGCCAGCTTAAGTCTTTCCATCCCAGGATAATATGCATCTCAAACAAAGATCTACAGCACATGCACTTCCTACATTTTCCAGCTATTTTCCCAGTCTCCAGTCAGTTTTTATAAAATGTGCAATAAGTCTGAACACCACAAATTTTAGATTAAAAACAATAGAAGCACTGCTAAACAAGAACTTCCCGGAAACAGTCTAAAAAAAAATTTTTTTTAACAAGGCTTATTGACAGTTAATTGATGTTTATCATTTATAACTATTTGTTTAAGTGACACCTAATTTTTGGCCATTTTTAGTTTTAAAATCACCTACCTATAAAGCACTATTTAGGTAAAGAACAATGTGCTCATCAGTAGTATTTAAAGGAAGATAAAGCTGTATCCTGACCCATTCTTGAGATCAATCCAGTTCCAGGACAGATCATAGTTTCACTTTACATGATTAACAAGCAGCAGGAAAAGAAAAAAGTTACTAAAAAATAAGCAAGCAAAATAGTCTTCACATTTTTATATAAACAGTTAATGGAACTATGAAAATATAGAAGTATTACTGAAATACTTTTGTTATAGCTATGAGAGAGGAATTTTAGCCACACTACCAATGGTGCAAGTAGATCTAACTTCTCTGGTTCTCTGTATTTGCCACCCCAAGCACGGCAGTCAGGCAGCTTTCGGCAGCACGCCTGCGGGAGGTCCGCTGGTAATGAGGATTCGGCGGCATGCCTGCAGGAGGTCCGCCAGTCCCACGCCTTTGGCGTACCTGCCTCCAAATTGCCCCCGAAGCCGCAGGACCAGCGGACCTCCCGCAGGCATATCGCTGAAGGCAACCTGACTGCTGCCCTCACAGTAACCGGCAGGTCGCCCCCCACGGCTTGCCGCCCCAGGCACATGCTTGGTGCGCTGCTGCCTGGAGCCGCCCCTGCTGTGGTTATATTTTAAGTAGAATTCACCAGTCAATCACAATGCAATGCATATTCACACAATACAGTCAGTAGGGACATGGTCACCTTCCTTTTCTTCTCATACTACCAACTCTCCTTCCCAAAACATGAACCAGCCTTCTTAATAGGAAGTTCTGTTTCTGAACAGACTGTTTACACTCAAGGAACATTCTATAATCTAGGCAACAATTTGGAAGGGGGGGGGGGAATCAGTCAGAGTGGGAGAAGCACTGCAGACAGGAAGAAAATATTAGCCACACAATTTCATATTAGCAGAAATCATACGGTCAGGGACGGTCTAGAATGATAATACTTAGTCCTGCCATGAGTGCAGGGGACTAGACAAGATGACCTCTTGAGGTCCCTTCCAGTCCTATGACTATGATTTATTTATTCATGGAATCAGGTGCTTTAGATGCAATCAACTATATTTTGAGGGGGTGGGGAGTTGTAGAACAATTTTGCATTTAAACTTTCTTCTAACTGGCTAACTTCAAATTATCTAGTTCACAATATATAAACAGCTGTGTCAACACATTTTTAGTCTAAATCAAACCACAGTACTGAATTTTTTTTAAATTCACTAGTGTTACTTGTAACATTTAAGATTAAAACCAGTAATTTAAGAAATTCTCTATACAGAATGTACCATCAAATACACAGCATAGTCAGTTCCGCTGTTTCTATCACTGTAAACAGTTTTCAGAGTGGTATCGGTGTTTGTATCAGCAAAAAGCACAGGAGTACTTGTGGCACCTTAGAGACTAACAAATTTATTTGGGCATAAGCTTTCGTGGGCTAAAACGCACTTCATCAGATGCATGCAGTGGAAAATTCATGGTGGGTGGGTGTCTTCCTACTGTATTTGCTACAACTTATTTGTTTGAATCTTTCACACCAAGAGAGAGAACATTTGTTTTTCTACACTGCAAAATGACAAAATCTGAAGAGCCAGTGTAGTAAGCAGCATCAGTTTATACTCTGAAGTGCACCAGAATTCAGGTTACTGCCCTTTACAAAAAAAAAAAAAAAAAAAGTACAAGGTTCATCAAAGGTACACATTGTTCAAAGTCTTCCTTCCAATCAGGCCCGTTTAAACCCGAATCAGCGCCTCAATCCCATTTACGGGACTCTGCTGGGGCCGCATTTGCTGGGCAATCTCAAAGAGGCCCTTCCGCCAGCGGCTGTTGGCCGGACAGTAACGTGCCCGCAGGCCGGGGCGAGCTGCACACACACACTCGGTCACAGTGAACAGGGTTTAACGCCGAGCCGCCTCCTGCTGCTGCACCAGCACCGCCGCTCCCTGCCCAGTGACCTGTCCCCGCAGAGACCGACCCGCCCGCCCAATCACCAGGACCCGCACGTGTCGGCGACGGGCCCAGCCACCCTGGCACGTCGGGGGCGGCCGGGCCTGAGCGCCAGGAGGAGCCGGGCCCGATCTATCCGCATCCACCCCGCGGTGGCGGCGGCGGCCCGGCCTAACGGCGCGGAGAGACGCGGCTGTCCCACGCCCCGCCGGCGATCTCGGGGGCCGCCTGCTCCGGGCTGGCGTGACCCACGAAGGAGCCGGGGCGGGTAGAGCCCGTGAGGGTGGGGTGCGTGACCGCCTCACTCACCGCAAGCCGCGGGGCCAGGCCGGGCCGCTGCCTCCACTCAAGAGCCACCGCTTCCTCCTCCGGCTAGATGACAAAATGGCGGCGGCAGGAAGTACCATCAGCTCCGCCGCCCCGCCCCAGGGCCCCTGCTCCCGTACACTGCGCAATCCGCGCACTGAGCTACCCGTCCCCCACCGGCCCCAGTGCAAGCGGCGCAGCGGCCCCTCGCCCACAGACACCCCTGTGCAGGCCGCGTACCAAAAAGCCTTCCCCCACTCACCAGAGGGCAAACGCTCCTACGCAAACAGCGCGCCTCCTAAAAAAATAATACATCGGGCTACTCAGGTCGCTACGCACATAGCGCTAAAGTCCTATTCGCCTACCTCTCCAGGGAACAGCCGTCCTCAACGAAGAATCGCCCCCAACGTACGTAAACCGCGGTCCGCGCGCGGGGGGAAAAAAGCACTATCTACGCAAATCGCGTAGCCCACCGACGGGGCCAAATCTCTCTCCCACGCAAACTCTGCACCCTATGCCCTGCGTTCGCTTTCCACCGCAATCGGCGCAACAGAGCCAGAGACGTCCCCTACGTAAATCACGTAGTATTCTGCAGGTTACCCAGCCGCCAAATGCGCAAAATGCGTAAACAGAAAAAGCCGATCCCCTTACCCGTTCTCATACACCACCCACGCAGACCGCTGGCTGCAGAATGCGGGCTACATGAACGGCACCACAGCGGCCTGGAGGACCTCTCCTGCTACGCACATAACGTAGCGTCCCTCTCTACGAGGAAAGCGGGTCGGAATACACCGTTTGAGCAGCAGGCCTCAGCCTGAGACAGACGCCCCAGCGAAGATTGCGTAGTCTCCCTAACGCAGCGGCCGCATTACGCAATGCGGGTTACGCTAGCAGGGCAACGTAACCAAGGATGGTGAATACCGACACCCCCACCTCCGCTCGACCGCGCCCCCCAGTCGAGAGCCGCTTCCCTCGCGCGCGCGAACTCCGCTCTCACCTGAGGGGCGGGCCGCGCGCTCTCCACCCTCCCGCCGGACCGGGTGCCGTGGGGCCCGGAGGGGGGGTGGCGTCTCCTCCGCGTCGCACCGGGGGGCTGGGTGGGGGGCCTCCGCGGGGCAGATAAAGACCGAGGGGCAGCGGGAGGGACCGATAGCGGCTCCGCACTGACCTCACCGCGCAACGCTCTGCGTCGCGGCGCAACAGACCACGCAACCGACGCATCCCGCGCAGGCTACGGGCGTCCCCGCCCCTTCCTAAGCCCCGCCCTCTCCATTCCCTACGCCCCGCCCCTCGAGCGCAAGGGCTGAGGTGGAGCCGGGAGCGCAGGCGGCGCGTGGGAGAGAGGTCGGGTCGTTCCGCGCCCGGGCAGCCGCTGCAAGGGGGGGGCACTGCACTGCACTGGGGAGGAAGGACGCGCTTGGGTCCCCAGCTAGTGGGGGGCTCTGCAGTGGCGGGGGCATGCATGGTGCGGGGGAAGGGGGAGCTCTGCAGCAGGCGGGGACGGCCCGGAGGGAGGGAGCCTCGGTAGCCCGCTGGTCACTGCAAGGAGGGGAGAGGCGGCTCCCTGCAGGGGCGTGGGCACTGCCTGGGGAGGCGGTTTCTGCACGTTGATGGGCATTGTGCAGGTAGGGGGCATGTCCCGGCAGCAAGGTGTATGCTGCACGAAGAGATGAGGGGAGATCGCTCCTGGGAATAGCGCATCATCCGCTGCATGGGGAGAAGAGCCTCTCCTGAAAACTGCTGGTTGAATCATTTGCTCTGGAGAATGGTTAGTCCTTCCACTTCCTGGTCGGCCCCAGTGTCTGTTGACTCTGAAGTCTGGTAATGCAAATGTCCATGTTAACTGTTTTACTGCGGATCATTTTAGCAGAAAGATCCGTCTCCTCTGGCACTGTGGGTGTGACCCCCTACAAGTATCATGTAATGCCACTTCATTGATTTGTATGTAGCACTCTCCAGATTGCTGCAGCCACTGGTAGCCAGCGCTTACTCGCACCTCTCAGGGTATGTCTACACCAGAGCTGGACAATGTAATTTCCAGCTCAGGGAGACATATTTGCACTAGCACTGACTGAGCAGTGTAGACCTGGTGGCAATAGGGGCTAGGTGTCCTGAGAATGTACCTACAAGTTCAGTCAGGATTGTACTTGAGGAAGCTAGCTTCTTGTGCTGCCAGGGTGTAGGCATACTGTCAGCCAGAGCCCTGGGCTGAGCATGGGGTGGCACCTCACTTCCCCATCAGGAGCCCCAGCAGTCACTGTGACTCAGGCAGACCATGCTGCCCAGATGCAAAGCGGGAGAGCACCTACTCCTGGTGTTGCCAATTTTGGTTGGATGTATTCCTGGAGGCTTCATCACATGACAAAATCTTTAATTAACTATTAATCTTTAATTCCTTGAGACTCCATGACAATCCTGGAGGGTTAGCAACCTTACCCACTCCTTATCCACTAAGGTGCCACAAGTACGCCTGTTCTTTTTACCCACTCCTGTTTCTCATGCCCAGGCGCAGCATGCCCTCTGCTGGCCAATGTGGAGATGGCCATTGCCCCATCTGCTGCCTAAAGCAGGCCTGCAGGTGTGGTTCAGATCTACACTGAGGGCAGAACATGAGCTCCCTTTCCTCCTCCCCATTATACATCCACTCTCAAGCTGGCTACAATCTGGTCCCTAACATCTTGGCTCCAATAACTGATTTGAAGGACTCCAGCTGTTTGGTCTGATTCCCTAAAATGATCCATGATCTTTCACAGGATCAGCTATGCCCCTGATTTTCAAGTGCAAATATAGTCATGCCACTGGGAAGGTCGGTCCTGTCTGGGCTCAAGTTCTGTGCCTGTGTTCAGGAGGAAGAAATGGAGACACTGCGATGTGTTTGCCATTCTGAGCAGGAGACCTTTAATATGTGGCCTCTTCTAGCTGTCCACAGCTGTCTGCTGGCCATGTGTGGTGGGAGCAGGGAGAGAAGTGTGAAATCTCTACCATAGCATTAACTGTGGCTCACAGATCCCAAGCAGGAGGCAGAGGAGGGGTTAAACTCCAAAAGGAGCTGCAGGCAATGAGGAAATTCACCCCTTGAGCTCCCTGGGTAACCTCAATTCTGGCATTTTCAAACTTCTGAATGGTTGACTTCCCTGCATTATCATTCTTGTAATAGGCTATATTGATTACTATATTGTCTGTATAACTATGGGACCCCAATCTTAAATTAAGGTTTCAGAGTAGCAGCCGTGTTAGTCTGTATCCGCAAAAAGAACAGGAGTACCTGTGGCACCTTAGAGACTAACAAATTTATTTGAGCATAAGCTTTCGTGGGCTACAGCCCACTTCATCGGATTCATAGAATGGAATCATTCTAAGGTGCCACACGTACTCCCAATCTTAAATTAACACTCAGCAGAGGACTGGATGCCTCAAGGGAGAGACTTTCTCCAGAAGATCACCAGTCTGAGTCCTTCCTAGTTCAATAGGGCCTAAAAAAATTTTCCATTTGCACATGTCCAGAGAACAGGCACCTCAGCTGGACGGACCCAGAAATTCCCAGAACAAGGTTAGGTAATTATCTGGCATGCTTAGTATCTGTTTCTGAGGCTGTGTAGGAAGTTTTCATTATTGGCAACCCACCCGGGAGGCCATACCCTACGCACCTTCTGAGAGCTGAGCCAACCAGAAATAGGGTGGCCAAGCATCTGGTTTTCAACTGGAATGCACGGTCGAAAAGGGACCCTGGCAGCTCTGGTCAGCACTGCTGACTAGGCTGCTAAAAGTTCGGTTGGCCACAGCAGAGGGCTTCCAGAAGCGCCTGGCATGTCTCTCTGGTTCCTAGGTACAGGGGTGGCCAGGGGGGTCTCCGCATGCTGCCCCTGCCAGTGGTGCAGGTGCTACCCAAGAACTAGCTCTGCAGCTCCCAACGGCAGGGAACCACGGGCAGTGGGCGCTGCGGGGGTGGCGCCTGCGGAGCCCCCTGGCTGCCCCTGCGCCTAGGAGCCAAAGAGACATGACGCCGCTTCCTGGGAGCCTCCTGAAGTCCGCACGGCCTAGGGTGACCAGACAGCAACTGTGAAAAATCGGGACAGGGGGTGGGGGGGTAATAGGAGCCTATATAAGAAAAAGACCCAAAAATTGGGACTGTCCCTATAAAATCGGGATATCTGGTCACCCTAGCGCTGCTCAGAGCCTGCACCCCATCTACTGGTACCTGAACTCCCTGTTTACATATATACATATAGAGAGCACTTTTGTAACAGGCGAGTTCTGGGGGGTGGAGGTCTCCCAAACCAAGAAGCAGAGGACAAGGGGCTTCCCCCCTTACTTCAGGGCTCCATCTTGTTGACAAATAAAGGGGTTCTGAAGTTAATGATGAAAATTGTGGAAACGCCCCATGGGTCATGACCCACTGGTCTCAAACTCATGTCCATAGGAGCAGCCACACTCCAAGCCTCCACCTAGCAGCCTGCTGACAATGGCTTACCTGGGACCCATGAAGCCCAGCCCCCATGTGCGGCTCCATCTTCGAGGTCTGATTGGCGGAGCCCCAGAGCAGCTGAATGGCCGACTGCCCCTGCTTAAGCCAGCAGCAGGAACACGAAGCTGTCTGAACAACCGGGTTTCACCCTGCTCTGGGCTGTGCACTTTGTGCTTCCCACCCATGCTGCTTGATATCCTAGCTTGACTCCTGGCATCTGACTTGAGGTTCCTGGCCTCCAGCTTGTTTCCTGTCTCTGAGCCCCCGGTAGCTTGACCTGGCCTGACTCTGGTTCCCGACTTGTGGTTCTGATCTCCAGTTTGTCTCCTGCTACTGACCTCCCGAAATCCTGACCCAGTTGGCTCTTGACTCCTGTCTCCTGACTGCAGACTTTGACTCTGACTACAAGGTCTGACTGCCCATGACCAAGCCATGACACCCTGACAGTGGGATTGGTAGTTGGCTCAAACCAGAGACAATTTTAAAAGGCAGGATAATCCAGTGTCTCAGGAATTGTGTTTGAAAACTAGATGCAACAAAGCTGATGGAGAAGCACCCTTGGTGCTGGGGATATTCCTACCACTGGCCTGTAAACCACACACGGGATATTTCAAAGTGAAAAGAGGCTCTAGGATCTGGCGCAATGACGTCTCCTGCTGTGTTCGCCATCCAAACACCCTTTGGTCCAGGGGAATGTGCGTGGGCCTGTTTTCCAGGTGAGGGAACCAAAGGACAGGGAATATAAGTGACTGGGAAAAGGTTATAGAGGAAATATGGGGCAGAACTGGAAGCAGAGATCTTCTCTCCATTCACTACCCAAAACTTTGGTTAACAAAGAGTTATGGTTGGCTGGCAGTGCCTTGTACCCATCTAGAATGTTGAGTGCAACTAGATTTAAATCTCTGAAAACCAGAAAATAAAGAGGTAAGATGCATAGCAGCCCTCACCCAACCTTAACTCTGCTCCTGGAGCTTGCAAAAGCCACTGAGGCTATACTGTAAGTATGGTTCAGCCAGGACTGCCCCGTAATGAGCAGACATGAGGAATGTCTAAGGGCTTGTCTTCTCTTCAGAGTTAAGGCAAGCTAAATTCAAGTGTTGCCTGTTGTGATTATTGGACCTACAAACTTACCATGAGCTCAATTGTAAAAAGTATGTGAAAGTTCATAAAAGTTACAATACCCATTGTTTACAATGACGAATATTCTAATAGGTGCAAGAAAACCCAACAGAGAAACTGTGGTAGTCCAAACAACCAGGGCTTACTGATATAATTCAAGGACTATACCAGATCATACTTAGTAAACAAGAAAATATGGAAACAAAGGTACCTATGCCAAGTTTGGCCTCACAGAAACGCATTTAAATGATGGACAGATTAATGAGGATAAACTCTGCCTCCTACTTTTACTCCTTTTTGGGGTTCCTAAAATGAGACTTTGGGGAAAAAATAGTTTTCTTCCCTCAGCTCATCCCCCAGTCTGCCAGCATTGCAACTCATCTCGCTTCCTCAAGCTTAAGTCAGACAGAGCAGACCAGGCTAAGGACTTCCTGGGGGACGGAGGGAGGAAGCCGGCTGGCCTTGCTCTTGTTGCAGGAACTTTGTTTTCACCTGTGAGTGCGGAAAGTCACCACACAATCACGACAGCCCATCAGTGGGACTGTCCACCAGC